AGATTTATTTTAAAGACACACACTATTCCATCCCCAATCCCCAAGAAGAATTATCCGCAGAAGTTTCATTTTTCAACAATGAAACAACTCGAAACACACATCGAAACTATATCAAAATTATCAACCACAAAACACAAACAGATCTCTGGTCACAACTACTAGAAGAATGGAAGAAAAAATTTACTGAAAAAATGTACCAATTGTGCAAAAAAATAATTAAAAGGAAGTGGTCACATTAATGTATGTCATTTAAATTAAACATATTGTTGTGTAAGAAACTTTAGGTGGATGTTATTTAGGCTGAAATACTACCAAAGATAATAACGAGCCATCCTGTATGTGCGAAAGTTTTTATTCAATGATTTCACTTCACTGACAAATAAACACAGAATTGGTTTATTTCATCGAATTTTTTTAATTAATTAATTGCATAATTTCTTGTTTAAATTATATCATTCGCGTGAATTTGTTTATTTGTAAGATGTGAAAATTACGTTATTTATGGCCGTTTGCACCGACAAATTTAAGCAGAGCTTAGCTTAAGCATAGCTTAAAATCCATGGCAACGATTGTTGAGACAATGGTTACCATGGATGGTTACTCTTTGGTATTATATTCAGGATATTTGTACGTTTAGAGTTAAAATTTACACACTGTAAAAAAAATGAATGGGAAAACTGGTCAAAAATATCAGCAAAATAAATCTGAAGTTTGCCAAATTTACGTACCGGGTGACCCAATAAAACTATTCCTCGGCCATATGTCGGGAACCGTTCGTCGTATGACTCAGGGGTAAAAAAATTATTGGGGAATCGGGCATTAAGAATCGCTGGAAAATATTTTCAAGTTCTAAAAATGACCACCAGAGGGCGTAACCGCCATCTTAAATTTTTCCTTAAATTTCGCATAATAAAGTAGACATTTTTTTTCACATAAACTCTTTTGTTGTCCAAGGAATGCCCTTTTCAACGATACCAAATTTGTTACAATCGGTCAAACGGTTAAGAAGTTAAAGCAGATTATTGCAAAAACAATTGAACGCCCCACGCCATCTTTGTTTTTGAAATAACTGAGTTTTTGTTTTTACGAAAATGATAGATAAAATAATATTAAATAAAGAGAACCATTTTATCTATCATTTTCGTAAAAACAAAAACTCAGTTATTTCAAAAACAAAGATGGCGTGGGGCGTTCAATTGTTTTTGCAATAATCAGCTTTAACTTCTTAACCGTTTAACCGATTGTAACAAATTTGGTATCGTTGAAAAGGGCATTCCTTGGACAACAAGAATCAACCAGCCAAATATAGTTAATTTAGTTGAATCCAGGGGGCTAGTTTTGACACTATGATCCGAAATCCTAAAAAAATCAAAAAAAGACAGTAACCAAATAAAACTAAAAGAGGCCAGTGAAAACCGTTTTTCAAAATCTCGTTCCTAACCTCAAATATTGGGAAAATGAGATTAATTAATAAAAATGCTCAAATTGTATCTTATTTGACGTATTTCCGGTATTTATCGATGGCGCGAAAGATTATTTGGAAAAGGACCCTACACTTTTAGGTAGGCCTTGGAAAATTAAACAAATGAAACACGATGCATTATAAAATAATAACAACCGTCATTTGTAAATTATTTTGCTGTGATTACATTCAGAAAGTGTAGCTTTTTGAATTTGTAATTTTTTCTAAAATGCCGATTTCTAACCACGAAACATTTAATATGCTGGCGGCGATGGTTCGTGGTCGATTCGGATAATGCAAATAGAAGATGTGGGCAGCGATGGTCGCATTCTGAAAATACTCAAAATATATCGCCAGTATATTAAATGCTTCTTGGTTAGAAATCGGCATTTTAGAAAAAATGGCAAATTCAAAAAAACTGCACTTTCTGAATGTAAACACAGCAGAATAATTTACAAATTACGGCTGTTTTATTTTATTATGCATCGTGTTTCATTTATTTAATTTTCCAAGGCCTACCTAAAAGTGTAGGGTGTTGGATGTTCTTTGGCTACTTTTTCATAAAGAAAAAGTCATATCATTCCATTTGATTTTTTTAGGATTTTGGATCATAGTGTCAAAACTAGCCTCATGGCGGAGAAGGATTCAACTGAATGAACTGTATTTTGGTTGATTCTCATTGCCCAAGGAATGCTCTTTTCAACCATATTTGTTAAAATCAGTCAAAGTTAAATACGGTTATTGCAAAAACAATTGAACGCTCCACACCATCTTTGTTTTTGAAATAACTGTTTTTACGAGTTACGACAATGATAAACTGGTTCTCTTTAAAAATGTAAAAAAATTTTTTTTAGTTTATTATGCGAAATTTAGAGATATGGCCGAGGAACAGTCTTATTGTATCACCCGGTACAATGATATTCTTATAATAATTTTCATAGCAACCTATCAACAAACTTTGGTCGGTAGAGATACTTGCAGATGTGTTCCACACTGACTCTCTGTACTGCGCAAACGCAAGCGCGCTTAAATTTGAATTTGCTTTAACGCGCTCGAATTAGTAGCCTTCCGTCATCACTGTGAATTCCAGTTACATTATAGCCCACCAACCGTCATGATCCTTTACAGCATAATATGGAATAAACAACAAGAATTGTAACGTTATTATTTATTATAGTCAAAACCCTTCTACCATCATGGTGTAGGTACGGAAAATAAATTAACATATTCTACCAGATAAGTCACTATAAACCAAGCTATAAACTATTGTGCTCCATTTTTTCCTATCTCGCGTTAACTTCTTAAGGCGCAGATAGACTAGCAAGTTAGTCTGAGTTTATAGTGAAGCGGCGAGCGTCGATGCATCGCGGTTTTAGATCGAGGTTCACCTCCATAAAAACAAACGGAATGAACCTAATGTAGGCGTTTATAGTGAAAACGTGAAGATAGCTTTGCGAAACGCGATGTCGCTAGCGGTGATGATAGAAACAAAAATGTTTGAATTTGTAAGAGGTTTACATAGCGTTCGGAAAGTATCGGTCGCTTCCGTGCGTCTATTATGCTTACGACGAACTACAGGCGTTCCTCTTTCACTTACTTCTGGAGTCTGGATTATGCAGTTTTGTGCGTATGCCCAAATGTCGATATTGACATACTAACATATTGCCGAAATTTATCGGGACTTATAACTTTTTGTACAAACGGGCAACTCTCCAATAGTCTCGCGATCTTTATTGATTGGATGTATTGACCATCTTCGAACGCGATGCGAATGATCGGGAGAGAACAAACTATTAATTATTTCAAATTTTGTGTAACTATTTTCAGTTATAAACTTCATTTCAACCTTTCCCCGCGACATATTTGCAGATAATACCCTTCACCTAGAAGTGATCAGCCACGCTCCAGTATAATTTTGCAGCCTCGACGCTATCATCGCTCATGTACCGCTATCCTCGGCGCTCGCCGCTTCACTATAAACTCGGCCTTACTTGTGACAATCTCGCGGGAGAAACTTCCAGTTCCACATGTATTTAAACTGTGCGCAATAAGTGTCGGAGTGTGGCGATAAACTGTAGGGCAAGTTAGGTGAGCCATTGCTGTCGCAAGTTCTCACAAAACTGTTTACACTAGCAGGACTTTTAGCTTCCGAAAATGCTGTCAGTTGATACCATGGTGTATTATACACCATGGTTGTTACCTAGCAGTTGTTTTCGAGAACTTCTCATGTCTGGTTTTTTGTGATTCGTTCAGCACCCAACTGTCTCTCTTCCGTAGGTCAATATTGGTCTGCAATGTTATTGCTTTAAGTAGATTTAATTAACTATTTCTAATTAACTACAGTACTTACAGAAATAGTTTCTTTCTATCGCCTTTGGCATATTCTAGGAATTCCTCGAGGAATTCATACCTATGTACTTGAAATGTAGATATCAACAAAATTCATCTTGATAACATGACATTAACATATACCTACTACACCTACTTACAATAGGTAAGCAGGTAAACTAAATTATCTTCAATGGGCTCATCCCGCCTTCATTTGTTATTTCTGATCCACAAAGTACTTTAAAAATAAAAAGACCCGTGTGTCCTCAATTTTTATTTGCGAGTAAAATAAACCCAAAATAAATTATTGAAAAGCTGTGTTTTTAGTCCGAATTTGAAACGCTTCAGACTAAATACGTCACAAACCTACAACCAATCACGTAGAAGTGAGCTGGCAACCTTACGCGAGGGTCTGACGTTTGTCACATTTGACGTTTTGAGAGGGATGTTTAACTGCATCTAGCACGAAAGTGACAAGTGCCTGTGACAGATGACGCAAGTTATAAATGCCATTCTCCTGCAATATTGCCAAGTCGTTATGTCATCTGAATGGTTCTAGGAGCTGATTGGTCGGGCTTATTACGTCACAGAGCCCGCCACAATCATATCGTTTTGAATAAACCTTTAAAACCGCACATGTTCATTATTTATTTTTTGCTAATCAGCCTCTATTTTTAAATAAACTTTTACTGTCCAAAAAAATGTTTTATGGTTTCAGCTACACTGTAAACCCCCATTATAACGTTTGCAGGTTATGTGTATTATTTACCCAACTTGACAGTTGTATGCAAATTCAAATTTAAGCGCGCTTGCGTTTGCGCAGTACAGGGAGTCAGTGTGGAACACATCTGCAAGTCGGTAGAGATTGCTACCGAAAAATAGAGAGCAAAGCATGCTATTAATTAATGCTCAGATAATTCAGATCAACAAATTATTACACATTATACCACCCAATATTCCAATTCCGTTTGATTGTTTCCTGCTATTCCGGTTTAAATGGATTAATTGATGAATAATACCGATGTCACATTTGAAAGGGATCAGTCCCGAAAGATTTCTTTTTCAAGTTATGGCATTGTCGCACTTTGACTAGCTTTATCAATCGTCACTTACCTTCACCCGCGCGGTTTATTTCAGACACGTATAGAAATTTCCAATCGAAAACGTCGATAAAATGTAATGACCATGTAACAAAGTTAAAATAGCTAACCTGTGGATATCTATTAATCGCCGTTGGATGCGGATAAGGCTGATATCCTCTGGCAGCACCGGGATAAATATTTCGCATCATTGCGCCATTACATCCTGGAAGGACCGACGGCGCGAGAGCTTTCTGTAATTGTTTCTCCTGCTTCCTATATTTCGCCCTTCTATTTTGAAACCATACCTGCAAGAAATCGAAACACTGTTTAGTACAACAATAAATCGATTCACTTAAAAACTAAGGGATACGAATAACTCGGCCCGTTGGGGGTTTTTAATTAGATTATGTAATCAATTAAAAAAGTAATTAGTAACTGAAGCTCTTTTTTCAGAACTTAAAATTTTTAACCAATCTCATTCGCAACTGATTTGAGAACAAAGAACGCGAGAGGAACCCTCTAACAAAGCTACTTATAGCAACACGGCGACAAACAAAAGAAGGCGATAAGGTCGCAAAATATGCATTAGGTTGTCTTAAAGAGAGCCGCTCGGAGTCAGTTGTTTTGGGGACTTTTGGGGATGGCAGAGGGTGGTTCATCCGCTAGGAGTGGGGGTAACTTCATTACGGATCCATTTGATGGAATCGAGGGCGGCTAGGACGTGCTGCGCGTCTTCCGCGGTACAGTCAGAACATAGCTCTATCGAATGCTCTTTGTTTTGACAAATCATCTCATAGCTTCGTTTCTATTCAATAAAGTTTTCATTTCAATTCCTTATTAGAGCCACTTACGTCTGAAAGTGAAATACGTTTCACTCCACTTATAGGTAGACATCGAGGACCGCCGCTTGCGCCGGATTTACGCATGCACGCACTTTTCAGTAAATCTTATACATTGTATTGAATTAAAAAAAACGGCTTTACTGAATTAAATCGCTACTTACTAGAAATTTAAACCAGATTCGTTGTCGCATTGAATCGCTACAATTCTCAATAGCTGAATAGGAAATCTTACTCAACCGTTCTACGTAATATTAATGTGAAACTTGTTGCTTTGCTTTATGCTTAGATGTAGGTGCTTCTTTTTGGAATGGAAAACCTAATAAACACGCAACAGGATACAAGAATGCCAATATGCTTAACTTTTTCATTAAAAATATATTTCAACTCCATATCTCGGTAGTAGGCCAATTACATTTTAATTCCAATAATTTCTGTACTGTAGCAGCTCATATCAATATGGAATTTGCTAAATGGTATGTCCAGCTACGTTAAAACTCAAATAACAACCTTGTTGGCAGGGCTGGATTTGCCATGGGGTCATGTGAGCCCGGGCTCATAGCGGCAAATTTTTAGGGGCGGCAAAAAACCAAATTTGGGGAATAATTCTACAGTACTATCGTGAATACTATCGTGAAAAAATAACATAACCTCTTGAGAAATTGAGGTCACATTTCGACGAAATTCTATGAACTTTTGATTTAGGTACGGCTTCTCCCGCAATTTTTTGTTGAAAACGCTTAATTAAGCTTAATTTCATGGCCACGTAACCATTAGATTCTGTGAATTCTCCGAAACACGATTCAGTGGTTACATTATTTACATGTTTGCATATTGTATTTCATTGTTTAAAGTGGAAAATAAACTTGAACTACGTTATTTGAAATGAATGTCTTTTATTATCTTGGAAAACCACTTATGAATTTCACATTGTAAATTTTACGTAATAACGTTGTTCTTAAAAAAGTAAAATTAGATATAGTCCCATGAACACCTTCTGTTGATGTAATGATGCGGAAATATTGATAAGAAGGAGTAATATAAATATAAAAACATAAAAATGGAAGTTATTTGTTTGTAATTTAAACAACAGATATTATACTTTGTTTCAATAACACTATAAATCTCATAATTAATATAAAAAATGTTTTTACTACTAACTGAGCCCATGAGAAAGAAAGAGTAAAATATAATTTTGGTTGGGGTATAATATGCTTGCTCAATGACCAAACCATGTGTTAGATCTATTTTTGGCGACTACATGGATTTTGATCAAAACATGTTAAAGTCGCTATTTGTGCACCAAGATCGTTGGGAAAAAGACCAAGAGCATGATCTCAATGATCAAAACATGAATTTGCTCTAATTCTGGAGACCACATAGATTTTGACCAAAACATGTCAAAATCGTTATTGATGCACTAAGATCGTTGGGAAAAAGACCAAGAACATTATCTCAATGACCAAGACATGAATTTGATGCATTTTTGTTAAGTATAAAATGCATTATGTAAGATTAAAATAAATTGTCGTTAAAAGTGAAGGATCCTTCGATATTTCGTTGTATCGGTTTATTTTGTACCGGATGTGTGCCGAAATGTGCGCAATGTTTAGAACTTTTTGTCGCCACAAACGCGTAATATTGCGCATATTTTTCTACAAGGTTTTAGAACAGAGGATAGCGATAGACAACATATTGTAGCGAACATTCCAGATACCTTGATCATTTCGTAGGCATCGAGGCGCCATGAAAGACTAGCCGCCGATAAAGAACGAAGGCGGATGTGACGTAATCTTTCCGATAAATATTACGTGTTTGTTCGAGAACATTCTTAAGCGTCCTTGAGCTTGAACACAGAATGCTGTGTCGAATCGTGTTTCGAGTTAGTTCCAACTTATACATTGTTATAATTATTACTTAAATTAATCCATTCTAAGACTGTTATAAATTTATTGTTAGTTAATTGTAAATAAATCAAACCACATAATTAAATTTACGTTATACACCGTGTCAAGTCTCGAATTGAGTATAAGTGAACAATTGGCGGAAGTTTATGCCAGTAGTGACCAGAAAGATGGAGCAACTCACATTGAATACTTTGAAAACCTTTGATGCTGGGTAAAGGGAAATGTGGTATCAAACGACGTAGATTTTCATGTACAGGGTGGCCAACTAAGAATGCGAGGTACTGTGTCTGAGAACCTACCCATCGTAGAGGCTTGCGGTAAAAAAGTTATTACTAAAACGGTCACGAGAAAAACTGGAAAATATTTTTAAGTTTCTGAAATGGCCGCTAGGAGGCGTAACTGCAATCTGGAATCTAAAAAGGTGATGTTTCTGTGAATTCCGCTATATTAACCTAACAAAAAAATGCCCGGTCTTTGAAGGCAACGATAATCTGAACCTTTTTTGTTATTGCTGTATCTCTAAAAATGAAGGGGTGGGGAGTATTCAAAGGTTTCCGTAAAGAATACCCTGTATCTTCGAAACGGCTGAGCCGATTTTAACAAACTCGGGTTAATTGAAAAGAGTTATTCTTCGGCTACAAATATTATAATATTTGAAGTTTTGTTAGTTTCACATAAGGCCGCTTGAGGGTTTTCTTGGACATTCCGACAGAAATGGTTAATTTTCTCAAAAAAATTAAATGCATTGGTTTGATTTTTTTTTCATGAAAAAGTAGCTAAATGATGCCTAAACAAGCTCGCGAAGATTGCATCTCGATATCTATAATTATATATATACCGTGATGCTCAGAATTTCGAGCATTCACGGCGGCATTAAAAGCTTCCTTTTTTAAATCCATCTATCTTACGGCGACAAATTATATAATAAAAATCATTCCGGAAAAATTAGCTTAAAAAATTAAAAATTTGAGGGTATAACATTTTCTTTGGCTTAAATTTTAGGTTAGGAACAAGATATATCGCGATGCTTGTTTAGGCATCATTTAGCTACTTTTTCATGAAAAAAAATCGAACAATAATGCATTTAATTTTTTTGAGAAAATTAACCATTTCTGTCGGAATGTCGAAAAAAGCCCTCAAGCGGTGATATGTGAAACTAACAAAACTTCAAATATTATAATATTTATAGCTGAAGAATAGCTCTTTTGAACTAACCCGAGTTTGTTTAAATCGACTTAGCCGTTTGGAAGGTACAGGGTGTTCTTTACGGAAACCTTTGAATATCCCCCACCACTTCATTTTTAGAGATACAGCAAAAATTGTCAAACAAAAAAGGTTCAGATTATCGTCGACTTCAAAGACCAGACATTTTTTTGTTAGGTTAATATAGCGGAATTCACAGAAACATCACTTTTTTAGATAGCATTTAGCGGCGGCCATTTCAGAAACTAAAAAATAAAATATCTTCCAGGTTTTTCTCGTGGCCGTTTTAGTAATAACTGTAGTCCACTTTCGCGGAATTTATGGCACATTGTTCCGGAACTCAAAAGGCACGCTTTGGTGTTGTCTATGAGGAATCTAACGGTTTGTTTGAGGCACCAGCAGAGAACGCTTGGGCTCACTGCTTAGTAAAGGACATCAAGATGTCCCGAGGTATTGCCGTAGAATTCAAGTTCCGGTTGGGGCGCTTAAGAGAAATCTACTTTCAACGGCCCGAGGTTAAAAAAAGCGTGTTTCCTACAAGAGCAGGGACGATTTTTTATGATCTGATAACAGAAGATCGGTCTTGTGAAAAACCTGGCTACGAAGATTTTTAGAATACACTACAGTACTTAAAACGACAACTACAAATCCATGGCGTTACAAAGCTGGCAATTCCGAAGATTGGATGTGACCTTGAAAAGTTGGACTAGCGCATCGCGCGCAATATGCTGGAGGTGGTATTCCAGGGCAACGGGGTGGAAATGCCTTAACCCCAAAGGAACATTCTAGAAATCTTGATGGACATCGAGGCGCCATGAAAGATTAGTAATCGGCGATAAAGGAAGAAGACGTGATGTGTTTGTTCGAGAACATTTTGAAGCGTTCTTGAGCACTCGAGAAGATTCTAAAAATGTTGTTTGTTATATAAGCAAATCGAATCGTGTTTCGAGTTAGTTCCAACTTCGATGCGCTTATGTTATGTGATAAATCGTGTGTGATAAATAATAATTTGTGAAATAAATTAATCCATTAAGACTGTTGTAAATTGATTGTTAGTTAATTGTAAATAAATCAAACTACGTACCTAATTAAATTTATGTTAGAATATAATGCCAATTGAAGTTTGAAGCAAAAATTGAACTTTTTAAATAATGTCCTGGATTTAAGTTTATGGAGTCAGATGAAATAAATAATAGATATTATGTTATCTTTCCCAAACTAGACGTAGTTAGGGAATGCAATACCCTTAGGTAATTCCAGCGGGGTTTACGAAATTGCGGAAATTAAGTCTTTTTAATTGTTCCATCATCTGCAGTATTTTCACGCTAGGTTTTGTATTTCTTATTATGTAGCTCT